GGTTCTTACTCATAAAAAGACATAAGAAATATTCACATCACATTTATATGAGATTTGTATTCCCTCTTTGCATGTTAGAAAGATGCAAAGACAAACACTTCCAACTATTCAGACAGATCATCTCACAGTTGTAACTTTCATCACAGTTCTCAAAGCAGTATGGTGAGGTCACCTCACAAACAGCTTAAGTAGCAAAACTAGAAATTGGTGGTAGTAGTATCAGGCTACATAACAGTCTCTCCAAAGAATATGAAGTAAGAGAACTAAAATGTGCTGGCAATATGCCAAAAAACTGGATAGACTATAGCTTTCAGCAATGAATACTCAGAGCTTACAGTATAAAGCAATTCATCTTCTCTGACCCTGTAGCTTGGCTTTCCTTGTTTTAAACCAAGAATAACAACATATAAGAGGTATTTAACACTGTCATATTTCTCCTACTTATGAGTTGAAGGACATGTAGGCCTGCAATGATTTGTTAAACTAAACACATACCCTAGGAAAAAAACGTGACTTCCATTCTGTGTAAAGCTGAGGAAAGTAAAACAGATACAATTACTATACACTGAAATTATTCTGCATAGGTTAGTTAGCCTTTATTTTTCAAACATTATACTATCTTCAGCATAAAAGTTTGGGTTTTCTATGTTGTCAGTTCTGATTATCTCTGTAACTGGCTGGCATTTAGAATTAGTTAGCCTTCTCAACAGATTCAATAAAGAATTAATCCTGTCAGATCGAAGGACAATTTTGGTCAGAAACAATTCCTTTGTCCTTAGTCAAAATATGCAACTTTTATAGTTTCATCTTAAGGGCCGGGGATTTAGCTCAGTGGTTCCATTGCCTACCTCACAAGCGCAAGGTCCTGAGTTCAGTCCCCGGTATCAAAATAATAATAATAATAATAATAATAATGATAATAATTTCACCTTAAACCATATATTAACAGAATAGTAAACTCTAATTCTTACGTCTCTAACACTTTCTAAACATAACTTTTTCTGAAGAACAGCAAGAAAAATACAGATATTTATTTTTGGCAAGAAAAGGAATCAGATTCAATTCAAATCAACACACACTTATTGAACATGTATTTTGTGTCTGACATTATACCAAGAAATGAGGAAACAATGATAATATGTATATTATCAGAGGTGATGATCTGGTTCAGGAGATCAGTGAATGGGCTCCATTAGCTGTAGGAAAAAAAGCCCTGCCATCACCAAAGAAAGAGAATAAGTCTGCCTAGAGCAGTAGTGGCGTACACGTCCAACAGCAGACTTTGTATCACTGAAAGCCCTAAAAGGGTCACCATCACTGGCTGAGAGGCTGGGCAAATCTTCAGAGCAAATATAAGCTTTGAGCAACATTTTAAGGATGAGAATTTCACAAGGGAAAGTGGGACAGAATGAGCAAAAGCAAAAAAAAAAAAAAAAAAGTAAAAACATGGCAGGTATAAGAAAACACATGTGGCAAGGTTGGAATAATAATTTATGGCAAATGTGAAAGTATTTTTCTACCCTCATCCCATAACACACATCACTAATCAAATTAGAGCATCTTTAAAGCTCACATAAAACCTCAAAATCCTTCTCAACAGATAACATACAATCCGTAGAAGGAAATAGGTCCATAAGATGAAATGCATGCATGATCCTGAGCCTGGGAACAGAAAGTGGTAGGATATGAGGTTGGGTAGGTAAATTAAGAGCCAATTATAAATCCCCATGAATGCTAGGCTAACAAATTTAGATTTTATTCTGTGTACAACAGAAAATGGACAAAGGATTTTATAAAAATATTGATATGATCAATTATGTATGAAAAATTTGTGTGGACAGAATGAATGCAGGATGCAAAAACTGCAGGTAGGCAAAAAATAATGGACCTGGAAAAATCTACTGTGGGTTCTAAAATAAAAACAGTTTTGGATTTTATAATCTGTAGTTTCAAAACACTAATTTGGGAAAAATTAATAGTGTAATCAGAATTCTCAAATGGTACTTGAAAAGAAAAAAAATTTTAAGGTAAAGACTAGAATTAAAGAAGTGAATCACAATGATACCCAAGATTACTCAAGACCATAAATTCAGAAATAGATATTTCAGGTTTAGCATCAAGAAAGAGAACATCCTCATGACCAGACTAATACTCAGCAAGTCTTTTCTTCCTCCCAGGGCATTAATACTCTTAGCCAAACAACAAACCCTATTCACCTTACATGCCCCTAGGATGCAGGATAAAACTCATACTTTCAGTGAAATACAGAAAGCACAAAAGTCAAATTTGAAACCAAAATGTACTCATTTAAAACTACACATTTCTTTTAAGAAACATAATTTATATGAAATAAATTTTCTAGAAGATAATACCATTCTACCATTAACTAATTCATAGAAAAATCTTTAAACTCTAAAAGTCTGCATAGAATACAATCTATCTGTAGTACTTTGGACAATATGGAAAAAAAAAGTGACTCTCCCATCCTTTCTGCAGAATGTTTAATAAATGAAATTATTCTAATTAAAAATAGAAACTTCATCGTAGCTTCAAAAGGCCATAGATAGTGAAAGGTCTTTCTATTTTGAAAAAAGGATTCTTTATCTATTAGAAACAAAGACTAGTGTAATGATGTTAAATCCAAGTACATGTTCAGAGGCATGCTGAAAAAGCTAGCATTACTGTTTTAAAACTTAAGAATAATCATATTAAGAAAAATAGGGCCGAGAATTTAGCTCAGTGGTTTCGCCGCCTGCTGCACAAGTGCAAGGACCGGAGTTCGATCCCCGGTACCAAAAACAAACAAACAAACAAACAAAATAATTCCGGGGTTGAGGATTTAGCTCAGTGACACCGCACCAGCCTGGCAAGGGCAAGGTCCTGAGTTCGATCCCCAGTTCCAAAAAAAAAGAAAAATATTACCCCCTAGTGGATGCCAACGATGCACTTCATACTACATAGACACATAATCAAAAGTTCTAGGGCCAGGGATTTAGCTCAGTGGTTTCACTGCCTGCTGCGCAAGCGCAAGGACCCGAGTTCGATCCCTGGTACCAAAAAACAAACAAACAAACAAACAAACAAAAGCTCTACTTTGTTCTCATCCCATTATCCCATTAACAAACTCTCAAATTGTAATTCTCATTCTCTTAAGCCAAAATGAAAAATATCAACTCAGATATAATTTATATATGGTATATTGTTCATTCTGAGAAAGCAAATTAGATAAAAGTTTTTACTATAATCTATCTTTTATCCAGAAAGACAATGATTAGTAATAAGCAGGGGCTACTTCTCATGATGTCATTACTAAATTTTACACATGTTATGCTTTCTTCAAATCAATCACAAAAGTCATCCCAAGAGTGAGGTCAAATTCCATTCTATGGGACCGGGGATTTAGCTCAGTGGCACCATGCCTGCCTCGAAAACGAAAGGTCCTGATTCAATCCAGGGTACCAAAAAAAATTCCATTCTAACAAAAAAGTACTCCAAACTTTAAGGTTCACTTACTAAATAATATTCAAAAACCAAATTCCAGAAAAAGCCTCCTTCCCTATCTCCCACAATATAAATAAATAAAATCAGTCTTCTCCTTTTAGCTCATTGTAATGGAATGTGACCCATATTTAAGGGCTTTTCCATTTCTCATTTTCTGCTTAGACAATATGACGCAGACCTAGTCTCTCTCACAAGGATATGTTTTTTTAAGAAAAAAGGAGTGAAAAACAAAAGAAAAAAGGAGTGAAATGTAGGTGGTTAACTGTATAATAACTGGAATAAATAAAAGGTAAATGGTTTTACTAGATTTCTTCATGTGCATTTTCCTATTAGAGCAATGCATGGCACTTAGGATGAGTCTATTTATTTTGTTTGGCTTTTTGAGACAGGGTCTCGAGGTCCAGGCTGGCCTTGTGCTCAGGCAATCCTCCTGCCTCAGCCTCCCAAGTGCTGGGATTACAGGCATGTGCCACAACATCCAGCTGAAGAGTATATTCAAACAGTGTGAATATTTTCTTTTACAACTCTGGTCAGATATCTAAAAGATTTTTTCCTTTTTTCTTTTTTTTTTTTGGTGTGTGCATATGGTGGGTTTTTTGGGTTTTTTTGGTACCGGGGATCAAATTCGGGACCTTTCGCTTGCTTGCAGGGCAGGCGGTGGAACTACAGAGCTAAATCCCCAGCCATATGGTGTTGAATACTGATGCCAGAGCACTTCATGCATGCTAGGCAAACATCTTTTTTTTTTTTTTTTTTTTTGAGATAAAGTTTCAAGTTTTCCAAGTGAAAACTGCCCTGAATCTTATGATCTCCTGCTCCATTCTCCCAAGTAGCTAGGATTGTAGGCCTGTACCACCATAGCAGTCTCTAATACAAGATTTATGATTTGTATGACTCCTACTAAATTAGGTAGGAAAGATTTAAATTATTGCCCACAAATCGTTTTTTTTTTTTTGGTACCAGTGATTGAACTCAGGTCCTTGAGCTTGCAAGGCAGGCGCCGGAAGCACTGAGCTAAATCCCTGGCCCCACAAATCATATTCTTATCACTGAAGTTATTCACTTAAGTACCTAATCATAGAGAACAAGGGATTAAGAAATGTATTTCAAAGGATAAATTTAAGCACTTAACACCTATCTAGGGTTTAGTTCCTCTTTTTTTTTTAATGGTACTGAGAATTGAACCTAGGGCCTCTGCATGGAACTATATCCCTAGTCTTTTTTTTTTTTTTATTTTGAGAAAAGGTCTCATTAAGTTAATGTCCGGTTGGGCTTAAATTTGCAACTCTTCTGCCTCAATCTCCCAGAGTGCTGGGATTACAGGCCTGCATCACAAGGCCAAGTTCTTCATTTTTTTAAAAAAGTAGGTATCTGACTACGGGAGCTTGAAAGTTATTTCTATGACACCTGAAACCAAATTTTAAAATGAATAAATTCTATGACTTAATGCAGACAAAAGCACTCCCAAGACAATACTATTAAGGATATATTTTACTTACATTCTTCCGACACCTTCATACATGTTAGTCTCATCTACCAAAGTCATAATCTCTGTATCTGTAAGATGTGCATGCTTTTTTGTTCTGTTCAGCTGTTCAATTTGAATATCTGCAAGCTTCACCTTTTGTTGAGTGTCAATAACTTTCGCTTGAAGCTCTGTGAAGGCCTGATAAAAACAAATCCTTGATTTAACAGACAAAACATTTCACAGAAAACATTTAGGTCAAACTGAAATTTATTAAAGCAGAAAATGCTAGGGCTGGGGATTTAGCTCAGTAGCACCGTACCTGCCTCGAAAGGGCAAAGTCCTGAGTTCCAATCCCCGGTACCAAAAAAAAAAAAGAAACTGCTAACCAGAGACAAAGCTGTGAGATTCACCGGAGAAAACATAAATGAGTCAATACAATTAGCAATACTAAACACTGAATTTATCCTCAGAAGATGCAATCAATTTGAAGAAGCAAAATAAATGCACATTGGGCCGGGGATTTAGCTCAGTGGTTTCGCCGCCTGGTGCACAAGCACCAGGACCCGAGTTCAATCTCTGGGACCAAAAAAATAAATACATAAATAAATAAATGCACATTAAATAACCAGTATCAAGTAACCAGAATAATAAAATCAATAAATGCAAACAGATGATGAAACTCAAGAGATTCCAAATAAGAACCATAAAAATAACAACTCAGGGCCAGGGATTCAGCTCAGTGGCACCGCACCTGCCTCAAAAGCACAAGGTCCTGAGTTTGATCCCTGGTACCAAAAAAAAAAAACTCACTATATCTATATTACACAACTTCCATATTACACAGCTAGATTTCAAAGCACTTTCTCACATTATTTCAAAATAATCACATAGGAAAATTAATGAGAATATTAAAGATAGATATAATAACATCTCATTTTCTCCTGTTGATAATGAGAGATGGCAGTTTCATCATCCTCAAGTTACAAATCAAGTAACTGAGTTGAGATAAAAGTGGCTTGCACAGGTTTGACTACTAGGTAGAAAGGCAGGTACAGTGAGTGGACCCTTGACTTACCAACTTAACTTGATCAGTTTGGTTGGTTGTAAGTAAATACAGCTGAGATCTGGATGTTTACCTGGGTAACCACTATAGATAACAAGAGCCAAGTGAATCTGCCATTAACCTAATTAACCCAAGTTGTTCGTATGTCAGGCCAGTCGTAATTTGAGGGTCCACTATACTTAAAAGCATTTCTTCTGACTCCCCTTAGTTCAAGAATCTTTTCATTCTACTATCTATAGTAATATTCAGAATACAAATATATTTAAGAGAAAGTCTAAAACAAGAGAAAATTCTAAGCAGTGACAGAATTGTATCATGATCTTCATCTGCACATATCAGGCCAAATTTGACCCCCGTCCACTTACTTAACTCGAAGATAAATACAGTTCTTGGATACTCTTGAAGTGTCTACAATGACTTTCATGTGTTGTCAAATTTATGCCTTACTAACATGTGGTGATTGAAATGCATAGCAATGGCTATTACTTAACTTTTATTCTGACTTTGTTGTGTCACCTACGAGTAAGATTTCAAGAGATTTACTTTGCAGGAGAAGGGGACCCTGAAATTTTCTATTAGTCTTCACCCAAAAAAAGCCCTTATAAAAATATTAGGAGATAAAAACTTAATACAAGTTTCTTTTTCATTCAACTGGTTGTGAAAACTGTTCAATTTAAGTCTGTCATCATTTTCTGTTTGAATTCATTGTCACATTTCTTAGCAACAAATTCCACTAATAGGTAAGGACATTCACAGTTGTACTCCTGTTAGCTCTTTTACTAAACTATGACTTAAATTTGAACTTTCAACAGTAAAAAGGGTACATTTTCAGAATACACAATTTTGTTTTGAAATGTAGAATACCAGGTATTATCTAATTGCTCTGTATGCAGCTAAATAAGCACATGCTGAGATGTTACAGGACAATAAAACAACATGTAAAAGCTAAATTTACAAGTTTCAAGACAAGAACCGCAAAAAAACATGACTCAAATACCTAATATCCTCAGAGCAGTAACAGGTTCATTCATTAGGAGCAACAGCTATTTCAGCTGTCCTATTTCTTATGCAAAGGTTAACCAGAGGCAGTCACTTAAAAAGTTGCTCACCTAAAGAACCTAAAGTAATGATCAAAATACTGGATTCTAGTCCCAACCTTTATGACTTTTTTAAAACTGTTTGCTTTTCTAGAAAAGTAGATTGAAGCTGGATGAATTCTAAGGTTCTTTCCTAACCCTCTCCCTTTCTTACAAAGCACATGGTTTGGGGTCGGTAGTGGGGTTAGCACCCTAATCACTCACAAGTGACAAAAATGTTTGAGTAACAATCCATTTACAAGCAATTGTTTGAACAAAGAGAGAAATATAATTCCTTCTAATACCAATCCTTACAGGAATTTTTCTTTTTTTTGACAAGTCCTTCAAAAAAGGAACGGGGAGGGGGGCTTAAGTCCTGAAATAAACATTGCTATGACAATGTATGAATGACTTTCTAAGATGCCAATACTGAGACCTTTCAGGTTGCGTTATGGAATATAAATGGCCTAAAAACAAAGACGGAACTTACATTATTTTAAAGCAAAGAAAGCCGAATTACAGATGCCTCCGCCCCAAGCGGCCCAAAGGGGTTTCAATTTGAAACGCTCTCTTCAGTTCTTACTAAACGCTCCCTGAAAGCTTCAAATGCAACGAAATGGCTCTGGAATTCAAAACATGGGGATAGGCCGGAGATGGAGCTGCAACCAGCCCTCAGTTCTAGCTAACCAGCTCCTACCTAACAAGAGCCGCTCGCCTCCCACCACAGCTTAAGGAGACCCGATCCCGCTTTTGGACTCTGGGAAATCATGCCTTACTCCCCTGTAGCCTCTTTCCTCGTGCGAGCCGCGAGCTTCCCTCAATAATCTTGTCCAAGGTCCTCATCCTCCAAAGAGATGGCTATGCTTGGTCAAGACCCCCTTTTACCTTCTTCAACTCCAGATCCACGGGGGCCGCCATGTTGGTGCACTCTATGCGCCTGCGCGTTGGAAGAAGGCCGGAAGGGGGGGGGAGGGGGAACGGCTTGAGAAGTGACTGCCTTCCTTCTGCACCTGGGCATGAACTGGGCTAACCAGGATATTTTCCTCATCTGGATGGGTTACCCTTGAAATATTCGGGCTTCCTTTTCAATATGCCTTGCTCCTGTAACCCATCAGGTCTAGCCTGCACCTACATGTCTTCCAGTCACAGCCCAAAGAGTAAATTTGATGTGTAGCTTTACGCAGTTGGACAAATAACTTGGTTTGAACTGCTAAATTGAAATATATCTAGTTCAGCTTACCCCCCCATTAGTAGTTCAGCCCTTCAACTAGTCCCTGTGCTGTTAGAAATGCGTAAAGCCCCTAACTACAGACATGGCAGTAAGAAGACCATTCTTAGAAGGTTTGGTTGGCATGTTCTTCCAAAGAACTTAATTTCTACTGAAGTACTGAAGACTCCATGAAGACCTTATAGAGACAGTGATTCTCAAGAGAGGCCAAATAAGTTTGTTTAATAATAATAATAATACAGATTCCAGGCTGGGAATGCAGCTGAGTTAGGAAAGACATGTTTAGTATATGTGAGGCCCTGAGTTCAATACCCAGCACCATAAATGAGCACAGTCTTTGGGGTTTCATCCAAACTTAATTAGAATCTTTGAAAGTGGATCCTGGAAATTTGTGCTTTTGTCAACTCCCCCATCAACTGATAATGCAAATTGTTTCCAGACCACATTTTGAGAATCTCTGATGTAAAAAGAGCTGTCATTTGAACTAGAAGAATGGAAAATAATTGTCTTTTGGAAATGGAAAAAATATATATCCATTATAAAAACTGGAAGGTGAAAGGACAGCAAATTTGGAACCAGCAGATCTGGATTCTAGGCTTGGTCTACCTTAAACCTAGCCGTGGTTCCATTTACTAGCTGTGTGACTTTAAGCAATTCACTTACCCTTGACAAGCTTTAATCTCCTCATATTTAATTTGAGAATAACAATATACCTAATAGGATTATTGTGAGAAGTAAATAAGATCAGAGTGAAATGCTCTGACCACAGTACTGTGCACACAGTATGTACTCAATAAATAGTTGATGTATTTAATGTTGTCTTGTTTCAAAGTCCAACAAATTGCTATCATATTTACCATCACACAGACCAAAAATAATCTCTCCTCTGAATTCTCCTCAAAACGTCTGTTTGTTGGGCCGGGGATTTAGCTCAGTGGTTCCACTGCCTGCTTTGCAAGCACAAGGACTCGAGTTCAATCCCCGGTACCAAAAAAAAAAAAAAAAGTCTATTTATTTATCAAGACATAATACTTCAGGGTTAGGGCTGTAGCTCGGTGTTAGAGCATTTGCCTAGCACACACGAGGCCCTGGGTTCCATACCTAGCACTATATGCACATGTGCACACACACATACACACACACCACTTTCTAGCTTTGTTAAAAACTTTCTTCTGTCAGGCACAATAGCACACATCTATAATCCCAGCTATGTGGGAGGCTGAGGCAAGAAGATGGCAAATTCAAGCCTGGGCAACTTAGCAACTTAGTGAGACCTGGTATTTAGAAGGGGGGGGGTGGGCAGGTGGGGATTTAGCTCAGTGGTTCTGCCTCCGGTCTCACAAGCGCAAGGTCCCGAATTCAATCCCCAGTACCAAAAAAAAAAAAGGACAAGGGTTGTAGTTCTGTGGTAGGGCACCCCAGGGTTCAATTCCCCAGTACCAAAGGAAAAAAAGAAAAATCCTTTGTCATGCTGTTTTTCATAACTTTGTTGGAAATCTGTCTTCTCTCTGCTGTCCCTTATAATATTCACTTTGGCTTTGGGTTCTGCCATCCTGCTCTGATGTGTGTCTACTTTTCCTGCTTGGTACACAGTGTCCTTGTCTAATCTGAGAATTTATGGCAATTCTGGAAAATATTCAGTCAGCATCTCATGGAGTGTTGGCTCTCATCTCTCTTGCAGAGCTACCATTAGAAGTATATTGAAACTGGGCACAGAGGCGCATGCCTATAATTCTAGGTACTTGGGAACCTGAGTCAGGAGGATTGCAAGTTTGAGGCCAGCCTGGGGAACTTAACAAAACTTTGTCTCAAAATAAATAATAAAAGGGAGCCAAGTGTGATGGCGTATGCCTGTCATTCCAGCACTTGGGAGGTTGAGGCAGAAGGATTGCTCCTAGCTCAAGGCCAGCCTGGGCTACACAGTGAGTTCAAGGCCAGCCTGAAGTACATAGCAAGACTCTGTCTCAAAAACAAAACAAACATGGGCAGGGGATTTAGCTCAGTGGTTCCGGCACAAGCACAAGGTCCAGGGTTCGATCCCTGATACCAAAAAAGCAAACAAACAAACAAAAACAAAACAAACAAACAAAGGGGCTGGGGACATAGTTCAGTGGTAGAGCACTTACCTAGCATGTACAAGGCTCTAAGTTCAATCCTCTAACACACACACACACACAGATGTTGAAGCATCCACATCTCTCAACCTTTATACTTACTATTTCCTTTTTTCAAACCCTAGATATCTACAACTTCACCAATATAATAATGGTTTCTTCGACTATTTCTAGTTTGTTGTCTATATGATCCTTTGAGTTTTGTAACAGTTGAGCTCTGAAATGTTCCCCAAAAGTCTCATTATGTTCAGAGGTAGGGCTTTCAGAAGCTGTATCGTTGGCCTTGCTTGTAATCTCAGCACTTGGGAGGCTCAGGCAGGAGGAGTGCTATGAATTCAAGGCCAGCATGGGGTACACGGTGAGTTCAAAGACAATCTGAACTAAATAATGAGACTCTTTGTCTCAAAAAACCAAAATAATAATAATAATATCAGATACTAAAATAAGTACTAGTGAGGAGGAAAACAGCAACGTGCTTAAGAGATTGACTGGGTGGAGGCCACTCATGTGTGAGAAATTTTCAGGAGGACATAGCATATGAGATGAGAACTGGAAAATGAAAATAGCTGGCTAAGAACCTGGAAAAGACCATTCCAGATAGAGGAAATCTCAAGAGCAAAGAGTTTAAAATGAACAGGCTTGGCATATTTGAAGACTAAAAAATAAGAAGCCAGTGTGGTTGGACTAGGAAAATAGTAGAAGATGACATCAGAGAGGTGCTTAGGGGGCCAGATCATGAAAGGATTTTTAAGCTACAGTCAGGGGTTAGAAAGTCATCTGAGTGTGATAGGAAATCACTGAATGATTTCAAGCAGGAGATTGATTTGATCCTATTTTCAAGGGAACGTTGTAGGTTCTAAATGGGAAAGGGATTGGAGGGAGCAAGAGTGGAATCTGGGAGGACTGTTTAGGAGACTATTGTGATAATCCAAAAGAGAGATGATGGTGGTCCAGAGGAGATCATGGCAGTGGAGGTGGAAGTAGATGGATCCAAGTAGTGGTTACTGAACTTGATGAAGGAATGGGTATGTGTTGGGGAGGAAGAAACAAAAAAGAAAGGAATTAAAGCTGATCCCTCCAGGATGAATGTAATCATTATATCCCACAAACATGTACTAATAAAAAAAGTTTTTTAAAGATAGTCCCTAGGGGTCCGGGGATTTAGCCCAGTGGTTCCATCGCCTGCCTCGAAAGCGCAAGGACCCAAGTTCCATCCCCGGTACCAAAAAATAAAAAATAAAAAAATAATAACAGCCGGGCATGGTGGTGCACCCCTGTAAGTCCAGCACTCAGGAGGCTGAGGCAGGAGGATTGCCATGAGTTTGAGGCCAGCCTCAAACTACACAGTGAGTTCAAGGCCAGCCAAAAAAAAAGGGAAATAAAGAAGGATAAGTTTGAGACATTTCTAGCAAAATGGACACACCTTGAAACCACACTCTCAAGTGAAATAAGTTGGACACACATGTTTAAATACCACATTGTTTCTCTGGTGTGAGAAACCAAAAGTGGGAATAAGGACTGAAATGTATAATAGATATTAGGAAATGGGAAGAAAATGTTCAAATGAGAAGGGGAAGGGCCAGGCATTTAGCTCAGTGGTTCCACCGCCTGCCTCGTAAGTGCAGGGTCCCGAGTTCAATCCCTGGTACCAAAAAAAAAAAAAAAAGAAGAATTAGAAGGGAAACAAGGGAGGTGGGAGGGGGAAAAGAAAGAATGGACAAGAAAAAAAAAGAATAGAAGGAAAAAAATGGAAACAAAGCTTTTGTAAATGAGGAGAAGGGTCAGAGGGGGAGGGGAATGGGAAAAAAAGAAGCAAGATATATCATGTACAGGTACAAATTCCCTATGATGAATGTGATCGCTATGTATATCTAAAATGTACCAATAAAGGTTATGCTTCCATAACAACAACAACAAAACTTTGTTTCTCTCCACTGCAATCATCTAGGCATTAAAAAAAATGAAGGCAATAAATGCGTCCCACAGTGCCAGTGTTCCCAGGCTCCTTCTCTATTTCTTTCTTTCTTTCTCTTTTTTTTTTTTTTTTGTACCAGGATTCAACCTCAGGATCTCGAGCTTGCCAGGCAGGTGCTGTGCTGCTGAGCTACACCCCTGGCCCCTTCTCTCTTATCCATATGATCCAAGGCCACTTGTCACTATCATGTCCATAGTCTATCTTAAAGAAAGAGGAAAAGAAGGGAGAGGCTTACCTCTTCACTTTAAAGGCCTGTCCCAGAAGCTGTAAGCATGGCTCTATTCCTATCACAATGGCCATAATGCCATTCCTGGCTGAAAGAAAGGCAGGGATACTTAGTTATTATTGTATACAACTATGCATTTAGTTAAACACTATGCATTCTGTTATTGTAAAAGAGAAATAGAATACAGATATTTAGAGGAAATGAGCAGCTTTTGACCTAAGTTTTCTGTTGATAAAGCCATTTCCATTTATGTCATTTGATTTTTATACTTTGCGAGCTAGATAGACCCTAAAAGATTCATTCAATTTGAGAGGAAGTTTAGCAGAGTGGTTAAGAGTATGAGCTTTGGGCTTGAGAGGGGAATGGGATAAAATAAAATAAAATTTGCTTTAAAAAAGAAAAAGTATGAGCTTTGGAATCTGATGTCCTCGGTTCACATCTTTTACTATTTACTAGCTGAGAGATCCAAGGAAAATTGTTTAACTTCTCAGAGCTTCAGTCTCTTCTACTGTAAAATGGG